GCCATGTTCTGTGTTGAGTTCTAACATTTGAGTGGGTGAGCACTCAGGAGAGCGTTGTGGCTGACTTCTCTCCATATCATGTCATGCAAGTTCAGAGTTCAAACAGCCAAACTTTATTGGCCTTCTTTGAAACGGTCATCACATTTCTGGTGTACATGGTTTTCTGAGTTTGACAGTAACTTATAAATGTGCCTTTATCTGGTGAACTGATACATTTACACTGTCCTCCCTTATCTTAAGTATGACAAGTAAAATCAATTTTCAAATCTGCAGAGCAATCCTTTTACCAGCTTAATTTAAAAGAATTCCAAAAGATGTTAGGCTGTAATAAGAGGTACTACAAGTGGTAAATTTCATGTGTTACCACATGAAAAGGAGAACACTAGATTTACTTCATTGCCATCTCTGTAAACATAGTTCCCTTAACAACCACTTGAAGAACCATCTACACTGCCGCACCAAAGCTGTGCTGTTATAGGATCTTCTTGGCTGATCTAAGCTTCCAACTTGACTCCAACCAATACAATAACACAGTCAAAACTTTCCAACATCAACTGTATTGTTGGAAGATCCATTTGCTGATGGCAAATCTCCAGTGTAATACTTGCTTAGGGCCAGATCTCCAATAAATGGCATGCTAGAAGTGAGTAGTTTGCTTGCTTCCAAGTCCAAACTAAAATCAGTGCTAAATTCAAAATCAGTGGAGTCCAGACCACGAATTTTGTGTCCATCAATTGAGTTTGCATCAGGAGTTTGCTCATACTTGTTGACAGCCAAACGATGCCGCAACACCCTTAATTCATTCACAAGGATCATCTGCTGGAATTGCAATGAGGAGTTCTCTCCCATTCCTGTGCTCACGTGAACTGTGGGGAGCCATCTTAGGTAACGCCCCGACCAGAATTTTATACCTGGAGCAAGGGTGTTCACTCTTAAGTAAACAGACTCCTCATTCACTCCATTTTCATCTTCATCCAAATAATTTCTGTACTCAAACAGTGGATTAAGATAAGGCCCTGAGTTTCTTGATTCAGCAAGCTGCTCTGCAACAAACTCCCACAAGGATGCCATGGAGTTTCCTTTTAATTCCACTTGACACATCTCTGATCTTTGCTTCTCAGAGTCAAACAAGAATGTGTCAAACATGCATGCATGTACAGTGTCAAGAAGAGCATGAAGATATGTCTCAGAGAATTCAAATGCAGATGGAAACTGCTGAGTGAGTTGATACACACAATCAATAAAATGAAGGAACACTGGTGACTCTCTGGACTCTTCCTTGTCAATTTCCTGGGTAGGCTGAATGGTGTGATTACAGCGCAAGAGAAACTGATGTCCTCCAAGCACCCACATTTTCTGGATAAGAGTCTGGAACCCTCTTATTGTTCTGTAATATGGATCCAAAATGAGCTGAGCAAGACTTGCTACAACCACAGCAAAATCACGACCCCCAGTTTCCTTGATAATAACTGGCGACCGGTCATTACAGATTGACCGCACAACATTCATAGCAGCAACAAGGGACAACCGTACATAATTCAGCCATCTTAAAAATAATGTGAAAAGACCTTTGCATTACAATTTACTCTTCAAATGACAATGACAATAAATTCTCTCATTGCAACTAACAGTAAAGCTCCTTACATGCTAATATACCTCTTCCATAAATGGCATGTCTATTTTAGATTGTTTTGTATTAAACTTTCTGGCTTTGACAACCTGGTTAAAAACAATAGAATTTTCCCCAAAAGCTATGACAAGAGTGCCTTTTGGCATGGACATAAAAGATTGATAATCATGCTTGCCATTATGAAAGAGGTCTTTGCTATGTCAGCTCACTTCTTGCTACATTAGGCATTAACCATACATTATGTAAAAGCTGATATCTTGATTGCCAGCTGCTTGTTGCAGCAGTCTTCTACCCTACAAGAAATTAAAGTGCTCCACTTGTCTGCCAAAGCAGCACAATTTTGGACTGTTCAATGCTTAACTCCCAAAGTGATTAACATGTAACTTCCCCCAACAGGTAATGATAATACCCAAAGTTATCAGGTAGGAGTTATCTTGATCTCACACTTAGTTATCACGGCTGATTTTCAAGGAAATGTGTAGCACTGCAGGGGAAGAATTAAAAATCAGATCTTAGAGGTTAAAGGGTTGATTTTATGAGTCAGCACCTTGATGTTTCCAGACTTGAAAGCCAATGAGGATCAATGCTCCAAAACTCCTTGCTTGTCTCCAACACACACAGCTCTCTGACCTTGAGGAAGCTCTGTTGTAGGTCTTTTGTAGTTGCACATATCTTTGTTGTATCAATCACCTTGACCTCTTTGTGTTCAGTGTTGCTTGGAATTAATGATAATGCTTGGAAGAAGGATGTTTCTTCCTTCTCAAGAAATATACTATCTGGTCTGAAAAAGAAAAATGAATTTTTATTGATTATTTACAAAAATTTGAAGGAGGTGACTGACAATAAAAATGCTGATGAGGTTTGCAAAGTACCTAGTAAGTAAATGGATCATCATGGCTATTGTTTGAAATGAATAATTCCCCTCTGCCCCTAGGACAAACATGAAATGTTTAACCCTTCACATCTCAACATCAGAATGCATATTCTCAATTCTGTTCTCGATACATTTTCTAAGGTGCTGACTAGGGGAATTTGTTTTACAATCAAGACCTTCCTTAGTTGGTGATCATTTACTTAAATCTTATGACCTCGATGTGTGATTCAAAGGTGATATTGTAAGTCACTGTTGAGGATCAGTGGGTTAAAAAAGTCACTATAAGTGGATTCTATGGTATAAGCATACCTTCCTGCACCACTGTAAAGCATAGGTACTCCTGTGCGAGGGTGACTCCAGCACCAAATTGGAAGACGAGAATCAACATAATGAAGTGACATCCTGTTGATGTCCAAATCTGACAAGGATGCAAGTACAACAAACATCTCTGACAACGATGGACATGTCTGGAATTTATTGTTGACAGCTGCTACTCGCCATGTGTCATCAACCTGGAGCCTGCTCAACTCATTCAGCCAATCAGGAAGAGATCGAAAAGTTGGAATGGTGTTCAGCCTGGTTTTGCCATTTTCCAAAGAGTTTTGTGCTCTACTGTAGGGGAACGCAAACAACAGAACAATGGAGCTTGGTGTCTTGTAATGGGAAATTGCATTCACCATGGTTTGATGATCTTTTTTGGGAGTAAATTTTAAGCCAAATCTTACTACTCTAAAGTCCTTGCAACGGATTTCCAAGGAATGAACTTTAGTAGACATGCGTGATCCAGGAACCACTTTCTTAATTTTTGATCCTTCTGCAGTGGAACTTGAATAATAAGAAATCTCATCTATACAAGTTTGTGGAATGTGCATTTCTCTTTGCATATCTGAGTACATTTCTCCAGCTTCAGTTAAATCAGGATTTGACTGAAACACAGAGTTAAGTTTCGTTTCTGCACTTGGGTTTCTTGTCAAGAAGGACATACGGAAGTTGGTTGCATACAGCACTCCAGATATCCCAGACTTTCGATCTGCCATTGTTTGAAATCGGAGCACATTGATAGCCTTAGCAACAACAATTTCTCCAGGTAAAAGTGATGGCTGAGGATATCCATCATCCATCATGGGAGAATCACTCCTTAGGGCTGCCATATTCTCACAAACAATATTTCCTAAAAAAAAAAAAGCATATATCAAATCTAAGCAAATACAGAATATGCCATAATTACTTTCAGCATATTGGCTATAAACTTGATGGAGTTAAAGTTGAATAAAAGTGAACAAATGTGAAGTGGGAAAGTGTGTTTGATCAGAGCATATCCATTTCCATCACTTTCCATCTACGTGTGTACCGTAAGACTCAATCACTCATGATCCTGTGAAAACTAGATTGATGGAGTCGCAAGCAGAAACAGAGTTAACAACCAACTACAATGCTAGTTCTCGGGCCTCAGGGGGGCTTGTACCTTGCTGAATTCATTTAATATTGACTGAAAAACTGCCACTTTGACATGAGGGAAGGCTGGCCTTTACCAAGATTGCAGAAAGAGGAAAAATCAAGGAGATTCAAGCCTCAGACCTTTCACTTTCATATACTTTCCCATGTAACAAAAAACCAACAAAAAATTTGGCAAACTAAGACCTTCACCAAGTTCATATGTGACAAGCATCCAGCATACTGCCAGGATCAACAATTTTAAAAGCAACTTCTCCCTCTTCATGAAAGACTCAGAGTTTATCTCAGTCTCATGCCAGATGGTGAAGCAAACATATTTTTTCAGTCAATGTCCAAGTTCACTATGTTACATCCTCCATACAATTTTTCACGAGCAGGAAGTTATTTATTGAAAAATCTGACATTACATGTATATCTTTGTGATCTTTTCTGATCATGCATTATATATAATATGAGAATGCCTTTTTTCACTTTCTGATTCAATAACTTATCGCTTTTTTAATTTTAAATTTTAATTTTAAATTTTAAAAGTAACTTCTCCCCCTTCACGAAAGACTCGGAGTTTATCTCAGTCTCATGCTAGATGCTGAAGCAAACATATTTTTTCAGTCAATGTCCAAGTTCACTATGTTACATCCTCCATACAATTTTTCACGAGCAGGAAGTTATTAATTGAAAAATCTGACATTACATTTATATCTTTGTGATCTTTTCTGATTATGCATTATATATAATATGAGAATGCCTTTTTTCACTTTCTGATTCAATAACTTCTCGTCAATATAAGAAACACGACCATTAATTATCGTACTTGATTTCACGCAGCAATATCCTGAGCAAATACAGCTGTTAACTTACTCAGCTGACATGACAATCAGTTAACTCATTTCTCAATGTCAACGGTTTAGGAAATTGTAATAAAAAACAGACTGATTTATATTTCATGACTACTCCCTTAAAAATGGCTGACGAGAAGTTACCAAGCATTCACGATTATTCGCCGTACATTTAGTTGACTCTCACGTGCATGAAATGGAATCGATGATCTTGTGTTACACACACGTACCTCCTAAAGTAACGATTTTCGATATCTGTCGAGTAATTCAAAAACCAAGATTATACGAGACTTTAACAGTTACACTCAGTGGGTATTTTACTTAATCTAGAAAAATAAGGACAATTCTTCCGCATCATAATGGGTGACGAATGGGCTAGAATTATCACGAGTAAAGTTACATGTACGTACAATATTACCCCTGGCTGTAGTATAAACGAACGACCGCTACGGTTCTCTTAGCAGTATGGCAACCACATGATAAACATTCGGCGAATTTCTAAGTCCAGAAACAATCCAACAATGATTTACTGTAAGGAGCTTACAAGTAGCTTTTCAAAACAGGAAACACACTGATTTAAAAACTATACTCTGATGACACATACTTACATCAGGCTCATTTAGAACATTTAGAAGATTTTGCTAATTTAGAAGATCATTTGGAACTTCGATTTCTCTAATTCCAGCGCTGAATGACCGGATTCCACAGCACGCCCGAGCAAATCTTCTCTTACGTAGCTCGCTAAGAGTCGAAGCCTTAAGGAAAGCTACGTCGATTCTTGTAGAATATTGCTGCTCTGTTCGATGGTATTTTGGGCGAGACCTATTATCATAAACAAGCGATAATAGTAGGAGATTCCTTTACCAGCGGAATGCATTTTTGAAGCGAAAGGTACAACCCATCCGAGGAGGAACTGGGAATGAATTGTATCTCAGCGGGGCAGGTAGAATTTCTTGTACAACAGATCTGGGAAAAATTTACAACAGTAGCATTTCAAACACAAATGACTCGTCTGCACTCGATACGATGTTTTATTACCTGTGAAAATTGAATTTCTAAAAGAGTATTTAATAAATACTTCTGTATTCCGTCGATTGTCTAATCCGCCACCCTTGGAGTACTTTGTTTTGTTTGAGAGCTCACGTGACCAATTTGTGTTAGTTTGATTGGCATGTTCTCGAATCTATTCAGAACGCGTCCCCTGACCTATTGGACATCTTTCCTAGCCTCTGGAGCGTATTTTGCAGAACTAATTCTTCTCGAAATTATCGCGAAATGGTGGAACCAACCGAGTCAGAACAGGAGCAGAGCTCTGAAGGTACTACAATTACAGCTAAAGCTTGAAATTATATGATATTGTCAGCCATGTGTGACGTATTAAGATTTCAAATTGTGAATTGAGATTGTTCGTTTCTTGGGTGGACTCCCAAAATTTTGCGTTCCACGTTCAAAAATCAAAGTAATTTATTAAATCTATTTGACCAGATAGCTGATGTTGTAGAGATCGTTTCAATATGCGCGATTGAGGAAAACTTTCCAGGTTATTTATCGGTTTTAATTTCAGAGGTGTGTTTCGAACCAGTAAGCGTGTAGCTTTCATTGCTAAATTGTTTACTTCAACTTGATAAGGATATTTCCAATTCCCGCCGTTTAAAATGTGTGCTTTGTCGATACACGAATTGGGGGTTTTGCAAATTTGATCAATGTTAGATCGACATCGTTTATTAATTGTAGTTCAACTGTTAATTTCCAACTATAAAACCTAAAATGCTGTTAATTGCTTTAAGCTATCAAATAATAATTTCAAAGCAATGTCGTCGGATTTACTGTCTCGATGGACGAAATTTCTTACAAGGGATATGATACGGCTTATGTTTAAGTTTACGGAAGTTTTTTTTCCCACTTTTAAATTGCTTGTGGTTATCCTCAGAAGGCAGTATTTACAAAGGATGGTCAGTCGGTTTTGGTCTTAATAAAAACAGAAAATAGTTATTCATCAATAAATATAATTACTATCAAATGTCTAGATTAAATTTATTTTGGTCAAGGAGCTTCATATTTTAAAGCCTTAGCGGTTTCTTTGCTTGATTCGAATTTAAGTTACTTTTTCATGGCAAAATTCTTAACACACGAGTTTAACATTGCACCTCAATTTGAGATATATGTATAATATATCATTATTTGTGGTTGTGAACTGTACCTTGCAATTTTAAACTGCAGATAACAATATAACAAATCACTTTTTATTGAGTTATCTCAGACAATTCTGAAAAGTCAGTAATTCAATGAGAAAGGGCATGTTTATGTTTTGTATTCACAAATGTTGGATTAAATTTCACCAGACTTTATGATTTTAAACCATGTGACAAGATCATGATTATAGCTTTGTGCCAAAGTCAGATTGAAAAGTGGTGTTCAGAGAACATTCCTCAAGTTGCAACATCCATTAAATGAACCCTTAAAATTTTATAAGTGACAAAGACAGAATTTCTCCTTACAATATCAAACAGACAAGCAAGGGGAATAAACGCAAATATAAATTATGGGATTTTTAGTTGATCAATCCAATAGCAAATTATCTGAACTAATATCACGAGAATTGTAAGCCAGACAGTAAGGAGAGTTATTCATGAGATCGTGGGAGAGAAAGGGTGAAAGTATCTCCACATGCCTGCATTTCAAACTCAATTTACTTGAATGTGGTGATAGTGATGGACAGAAAAGTGAAAAAGATCTGATTGTTGTGTATCAACAAAATGCACTTTGATAATGTTTACCCAGCGATGGCTTGTACGAGATTCCAATATCTGACTGGTACATTTAATTCTCATTTTTTAGTGCTTTGTATTTCAGTTTCTATTATCTTGCAAAAAAAAAACAACCACTTTTAATAATAGATACTGAGATCCAACAGTGTCAGTAGAATTATGTAAATGTTTAGAGATATAGTCCATTTGGATGGGTCTAGTTTACTCAATTTAAGTGCCAACCAGCTGGTATTCAACTCTCTTAATCTTTAACTCCCCCATCAAAATTGTAATTCTTCTTACTGTCAATCATACAATTGTTATAATGTTAGTTCAGAGAATTTAGCATTGGATCAACTAATTATCCCCCGGCAAATTGATATTTGTCTTTATTCTCATCACTTATCTGGTTGATATTGTATTGATACTGTAGGGAAAAATTCTGTCTTGGTCACTCATGGTAGTTAAAGGGTTAAAAGAAAGGATGAGGAAATGTTATGGAACATAGAAAACACAATCTAGACCCAACCACCCTAATCTACCCAGTTTCAATCTTATTGTCTCAATACATATATCCAACCCTTTACACCCCAACATCAGAATGCACATTCTCTATACTGCTCTCTATACATTTGTTGTAATATTAATAAGGAGAATTTGTTTGACAATCAAAAGCTGTTTTAGTTGGTGATCATTTTCTCTATTTGCATAACTGTGAGGTTTGATTCAGCTGTGATACTGTGAAGAGAAATATAATGCTTGTCACTCCTAGGGATCAACCCTTTACACCCTAACTTCAGTTTGCATATTCTCTGTACTGTTCTCTATACATTTACTAAGGTGCTGACAAGGAGAATTTGTTTAACAATCAAGGGTTTCTTTGGGTGGTGATCATTTTCATTATTCTCATGACATTAATGTGTGATTCAAGGGTGATATTGTAAGGAGAAATTAGACGCTAGTCACCCTTAGGGGTTAAAGGATTAAAAGACTGATTGGGTGCCTATTACATGCATTTTACATGCACTTGCATGTACAGTATTTTGCACTACATGCATTCATGTATAGTGACAGGCAGTGTGTATGTTTGCATTTTTAGTGCTTGGGGATTGCAAGCTTGTTACTGATAAGAATATGTAATGCTTTAATACACATGAGCAATGTTGTGTAAAGATGTAGCTTGGGGTAGTTGTTATTTCTGGTGAAATGAAAAGGCATCGTGGCCCAAAATTTTAAGATCATCTTTCTTTGTAATATTACTGTGATTTCCGAAAAAAGGAATGTTGTTTTCACAATTAATTGTGAATTTGATTTTCAGAGCTCAACACTGACCTTTTTTTACCCTAAGATTTCAAAACAAATGTCATTTTTATTTAATTAACAATCCTAGATGCTTAAGGATAAACTTTTTTCAAAGTAGTCACTTGGCAGTGTCTTAAACTTTAAAGGTTTAAGGATGAAATGGTAGCTCGAAATAAAGGTTTATTACCAGTCAGAGTAGGAAATGAAATGTGAGTAACTGTCTTGGAGGTTCTTGTGGAGGCCAGACACATTTCTGTAAAGAAAACAACAAAACACAAATGATAACATTATGCAAATGTTCAAATAATCTTAGTTCTAATTTTGACCATGAAAACTATGTGATAAAACATCTGTCCTTTCTGTTTCATCAATGATACTTTTAGGGAACAACTAACATTGTCCTAGAGAGGCATTACTGTTCCTTTTACTCTACAGCATTGTAAAAACTTTCAAAAGTTTTTGACAATAAATCATGATTTTTATTTGACTCTTCAGGCAGACTGAATTTGAATTTGCAATTGAATTTGGTGGGGAAAATATTTTGATCTCTGTGAACTGGAGTGCATTTTAAGTCATAGCCTCCGAAATTGCAAAAGTGCCAAGAATTTTGGTTTTTCAAATAAAGTATGGGTTTATTTTTCTGTTTTCAATTTTATTCTTTGATGTATTTTCACTTTCCAAAGACGTAGACGTGTATCAAAGTAGACAGGCTTCAGACTCTTTTGGCCAATTTTTTACACAAAGTCTTGCTCAAACCACAGTTTTGTACAATCAGTGAGCATCAGTCTTTATCTATAAGAGGGTTGATTTAATTAGATAGGTGTCCTTTGACTGTTAGCTTTTGGCCCGTTTGACACTGTCCTCATATTATGAATAAATGTTCAGACAAAAGGTTAATAACCCTTTAACTCCCAAGATCTCATTGCTAATTCTCCTTACTGTCTATAAAACAGTTCTTGTGATGTTAGTTTGGAGAATTTGATATTCAATCAACTAATAATCCCCTTATTGATATTTCTTTTTTCTCATCACTTATCTACCTTATAATGTCTTGATATTGTAAGAGAAATTCTGTCTTGGTCACTCATGGGAGTTATAGGGTTAAGCTAAATTGAGGATTTTTTAGGATGTGCTTTTGTGAAACAACAACCAAACTTTTTAAAAATAGCCAGCCTTTAGTATCCTGGGCCCTCAGTGACAGCCCTGATTTACATATTTGAGATTTTTTTTTTGTTATTTTTTTCTAGAAAAAACACTATCAGGTTGTGCATAAATATTTTGATAGAATCTAGATATACTTTACAAACAATAACATCCAAACTTTAATTTTTTCACAAATGTTGCTTTACACTATCTAGATGGAGATAAATTGTTGTAATTTTTTTTATTGAATATAACTTATGTGTGATTCACTTGTTTCCATAGCAGTGCAGACTGTGCTGAAGTCGCTTGATGATCCAAAAACAGCTGGACTTATCCTTGAAGAACAAGCAAATGCTTTGAAGAGTATTCTAGGAGATCCCTCTGTGTTGAAACTTGTCAGGGTGAATGTTACATTTAGTTTTTGTTTGTGTTACATATCTGCATGTCTGCATGTTATGAGTAGAGAAGAAGTGAAACATTACATAAATAAACTAGGAAGGTTTTTTTAAGTTTGGCTGTGTTTATGGCACAAAGGCTTGTTGACCAAGAAAATCAATGAAACAAATTATTCCAATTAACCTCTAACTCCCATGAGTGACCAAGACAGAATTTCTCCTAACAATATCAATACAATATCAAGCAGACAAGTGATGAGAATAAAGGAAAATATCAATGTGAGAATAATAAGTTGATCCAATACTAAATTCTCTGAACTAACATTATAAGAATTGTATGGTTGACTGTAAAGAGAATTACAAATTTGATCTGGTAGTCAAATGGTTAAAACAGGGATTAAAATGCCAACTGGTAAGAGTTGAGTAATTGAACTTGCTTGCTTGATTCTCAAGACCTGACCTGTTCATTCCTTGCTTAAATAAAGTGGCTAGTATTACAAGTGTAATTTATTTTTGAGATCCATACACTGTTTATGTTTCTAAAACATTGTTTTCATATCAAACTTTTTCTAGGCACATGACAAACTTGAAGAGGGTCGCAAGCAAGTTGAGACCCCAAACACAGCAGAGCTTGCAAGGGAGGTGAGTTTGGTATTTTGTACTGTTGAACATAATGATGTTAATGATATGCAAAGAAATTAATTTTAATGCCTTTATTTACTTGAAGTTATAATTTAGTGATAATAAAGATTTTATGCCTCTCCTTTTTTTCTCTCTTGTATACTCTCAAAACCATACAATTTCATCTCCATTAACTAATCAGATCACAGGATTCAGAGGATTGCAGAGCGAGCCATGTAATTAATATGTTGACTGTTATTTCAGGTTACCACAGAACTTGAGCCACAAGTAGCAAATGATGATAGTGCAGCTGAGTTGTCTGGTCTCCTGCAAGAGCCTCATTTCATGGTATGAACATCTATAATGTAAATCTGGCTTCCTTGAATTTTTCATTAATGCAATGTGATCTTTTAGTTTAGTTTTACTAATTTAATTTTTATATATTCACTCCATGTGCTGTATAATCAATTGAGTGTAATCAATAAAAAAAATTGATGCTTTAACTCCCAAGATCTGATTGTTAATTCTCCCCTCCAGCTGCTACAGATTTCCTGTTAATTTGTTACAAGAATTTGGTGTTAGATGAAGATAAAAACTTCTACCTGATTAGTTTGAGTATTCTCATTACCTGTGTGCAGGAAAATGTATGGATATTATAGGGAGAAGTTACATTTTAATCATTTCTGCAGGTTAAAGGGTTAAGTAAAGAAGACTGAGATAATTTTTGAAGATTATTTCTTTAATAGGTTAGCTAATTATGGGCTGCTATGTAGAAGTTTTTCTGTAAAAATTAATAGATCACATCACTAAATCGGTGTTTCATTGCCAGGCATTATTGGAAGTTCATGATAATGTCGCATTCAAGAAGTACGCATCACCACCTGCTTCTCCTGGACCAACTGACGAGGCTGGTACTATGAATGGCTTTGGTGGGCAGCCCATCAGAATGGTTGGCTTACATAAGCAGCCTAAGAAACCACTGGTTTGTCCAGATTTATTATTCTTTTGTAGAAATTTATCCAAAAAAATTGCCTCAGCTTTAAATCGCAAAGCCAACAAACCTACAAGGTGGCATGAAGACTTGTTGGAAATATTGCAATTTCAGATGATTCTCATGTTAATTTGTTTGTTATGCAATTACACTGATTTGAAAGTCCAGAAGATTTTAAAGATTGACATAAAAACTAAAAGTCGAAGAGGAACATGGTCACCAAAATTAAGGGTAATCGTCATGGACTATATAAAATTGAGCATGGCACGCTAAGATTATGTACATGGCTCAAAGTGCCATTGTCAATACTAGGAAATTAACACAACACTTTTTTTTGTCCTTTGCAGCAGACATACTTGTCTGTTTTTTAGAGTACAGCCAACAACATGGTGTAATTGTTGATTCAAGGATGGTCGTTCTCTTTGAATATGAATAGCCTCATTTATCTTAAGTTGAAAACCAGCAGAGGCATGATCTAGTTGTTTTTAGAATCAACAATTACACCATGTAAATCTAAAACTATCTTTTTAATTCTCACATTTTCATGCTTTGCCTCTTTTCTTGTTGTCACCATTCATCATAATTAGCATTGTTCTACTTACCACATAATTCAACTTCCAACGCTTTGTACAGTAATTAACTGAAGATGACAAAAGTTTCTGTCAAAACATGTTTTACAGACTCAAAAAGTTTTTTCACTTTCTTTAAAGTTAATTTTATTATTATTACTGTTTATCATTATTACTGTTTATCATCATTATTGGAGAATAGATTGTAGGATTTTCCATCATAGTCATTGTTTTTGTTAATATTGTTGTTGTCATTATTATTGTTATTATTATTATTATTATTATTATTATTATTTTATCAACACCCATGTCATTTTTTTGTTATTAAGGGGATGACATTAGTTGTAGAGAAAGGAGAACTTGTTGTTGCAAGGATTATTCATGGAGGGATGATTGACAGACAAGGTAAACAAATTAAGGAGATTTCAATTTACCAAGTAGGCCTTGGTGACCTTCTTCATTCCTAATGCTTCCCGACAGGAGGCTCATTGAAGAAGGGGGACTTAGTAGAGATTGTAAGCATATTAAAAACTGGGTCTTGGCTAGAATACAATTCATTAATTTTTTTACCTAACTGTCACTCAGGTTAAATGATTATCATTTGCAAAAAAACATTCATTTTATGTAGCCTTCAGAAATTGCATGAAATTTTTGTTTCACTTTAAGGGCTTCTTCATGTTGGAGACAGAATTAAGGAAGTGAATGGAAGAGACATGAGTGGAAATCCTAAAGAACTTCAAGATTTATTGGTGAGTTTTACAGCTTGTTAACAGAAAAGTAAGTTTTATTAGTTAACAGTTTGAAAAATTGAGAGATATTTGTTTTGGAGTTACCTTATGTTGTTGTTGTGAGTCCCAACTGAATTTAATTTTTTTTTTCTAAGCGTGAATCCACAGGAAAAATCTTTCTGAAAGTTATTCCAACTAGTCTGGAGGCACCAGCTTTGAGCCAGGTAAACAACTTATTTACTAACTTGTGGTATAATTGTCATAAACAAGTTATTTGTATGGTGCCAGTAGTAGTTGACACCTTTAAAGAGAGTCTGTTCTTAGTTTGTGAAACTAGCTTTCTAGAGTCAGTTCTTGAAAAGAGTTATTGCTGTAGGTTAGTCATTGTACAGAGTCCCAGTCAGTAGTGTGGTTCATAGCTTGATTGATGATGTTTAGCAATGTGATTGTTGGCATCGCCAAATCTACCTGCTCCCTTGCACTCAGTCAGTCTTTCTGTGAGGTTCCTGCCAGTCTCTCCGATGTAGGAGACTTGGCAGTTGGAGCACTTGATCCTATGAACCACTCCCCGTCTGTTCTTCCTAACCCTTTAACTCCCAGAAGTGATTAACATGTAACTTCTCCCTATAGTATCTGTACATTATCCAGCAAACAAGTAGTGAGATTACTCAAACTTATCAGGTACAAGATATTGTCTTGATTGAACACCAAATTCTCCTAACCAATTTACAAAGAAATTTGTATCAGCTAGAAGAGAGAATTAACAATCAGATCTTGGGAGTTAAAGGGTTAATTATATTAGTGCTCTAAAATTGAATAACTTGATTAAATCATTTATACAGGTATTTGTTCGGGCTCACTTTGACTATGACCCAGAGAAGGACAAAATAATTCCCTGCAAAGATGCTGGCTTGTCATTCAAAATTGGCGATGTGCTACAGATTGTCGAACAGGAGGATCCCAATTGGTGGCAGGTACCCTTGACCCTTTCAGTGTAATGATCTAAAGATAAATTCTCTGCACTGTTTCCCATACATCTCTTGAAATGTTAGCCTTGAGAATTTAGAGTTAAATCAGTTGACATCCCCTTGTTGACATTTTTCTTTCTTAACACCATCTCTCTGTTTGAAAGATTTATTAGTCTTAACTCTTGAACCCCTAAGTGTGACTAGCATCTAATTTCTCCTTACAATATCACCCTTGAATCACACATTAATGTCATGAGAATAAAGAAAATCACTACCAGTCAAAAAAGCTCTTGATTGTTATACAAATTCTCCTTGTCAGCACCTTAGGAAATGTTTAGTGAACAGTAAGGAGAATATGCAAACTGATGTTAGGATGTAAAGGAGGCTTTAGGCCAGTTTCCTGTTTCCTTGATGTTGTAAACTAAAGATTGGGTTGAAAAGATGATATTCTTTTACATGCACAGTAGTTCACAGAAAACCTTGTAACCAATGCTGTCTAGTTTTCAACAATGTTCACATTCCTTTTAAGTTTTAAAAAAACCTGATACTGTAGTCTATGGGCAACACAGTCTTGTTAACTTCAAATTTCAGGCTAAGAGGACTGATGGCACAGACGAAGCAGGGATTATTCCCAGCCAAATTTGTGAGGAAAGGTAATTGGTACTTATTTAATTCAATGTGCTTTTTCCAATCTCAATCCGTTCCAAAAATACCGCTCAATAACATCTTTTAGTGTGGATTGGCCTCGAACAATACGACTTGTGTGTGCGTCTGTAAGTATTTTGAGCGTTTGCACCATGAAGCTTCAGATAATCGAAAACCAAAAACGTTGCACCTCCATCACCAAAACAACAACCCCAGAAAAAATAAGAAATGGCTGACAAAAGAGTTTTATAGGCAAAAATCTCGTGGTTCGTCATGTGACCCGGCCCTGTCCGTGCATCACAACGTCAATCGTCATCAAGATAACAAAAACATCATCTCTTTGCAATATCTTGCAACATTTGCAATATTTAACTAATTAGTATCATTATCACCATGATGTATTAGCATCTTCCAAAGTAACATTAATTTTACACAAATTCAAGACAACAGTGTGGTTGAGCAAGTAGACATGCAAGAAGCCATCAGGCAGCGGTTGTTCAAAGGTTGGATAACGCTAATCACTGGATAAATCGCTATCCAGTGGATGGCGCAGTACGTTTTCTTGAAAGTTATCCTCTGGATAGTGATTTATCCGTTGGGTAGCATTATCCACTCTTTGAATAACTGGGCTCAAGCTTGTAATGGAGACCACTTTGGTTGTCCATATCTTTGAAATTAGGCTGTGCGGCTTGCTGGTTTCAGGCTCTTTTCATTAAAAATTCCATCTTTTTTGGAGTGTAGAGAAGCTAGTCGAACCAGTGACCGTTTTCGGGAGAGAATTCCAAATGTTAGGAATGTTAGTTAGTAGAGTATTGTATACTGCTTCAATAACAATTGGCAATTTTTTTGTCATAACTGTGAATTTGACTCTTTGTATCTTTTATGGTTTCCAGGAGAAGATCGTTTGTCAAGAAGGATAGACCTGGTAGTGGATTCTGTAAGTGTTTCTCGCACTAAGTAGTTGCGTGTACTTGTATAGGTACAAGCATATACTAGAAGTACAACAAATATTTTTTATTGTTAGGATGTAAGGAAGTGAAACAGAGAAGGACCGAAAGCTCTGAAAAAGAAATTGACTGGAAATGCTTGTTACTTCCATTTGCAGTGTGTGGTAGCAAAAAGAAGCAGAAGATAATGTACAAGTCTGCAAAAAATGCTGGTGAGTTGTGAAGGCTGCATGGCTACGTTACGTTACAATTTCTTCAATTTGCTGTTGAGATAGTCTTTTCTTCTTACCTGTTTGTAAGGTAACATATTGGAATCACATCGAGAAATTACAAATTGATCACGTCTGGGGTCAAAAGGTTAAGATGCATGATAGTTAACGGATCGTGATCACGTTTCAGGGATATTTATGTTGTTCACGATTTTCTGAGTTTTAAGGTAACTTTATATTCATCACTCAGTTATATTACCATCCAATTTATATCGCCAAGCCAGTATCAAATTCTTTCCACTCTTCAACAGATTTCGATAGACACGAAATGATTATCTATGAAGAAGTTGCCAAGATGCCACCTTTCCACCGCAAGACTCTAGTACTTGTTGGTAAGGAAACACCTTCGAAAGACACGACACTTCGAATAATTAAGTTCACAAAATGAATTACATCTTGGTTCTTTCAGTGAAAGCCGGTCATCATCGGTCATCCGCTGATTTACCGCCGTCTGTTCAGCTTGTGTGCAGGCTCTCGTGTTTGGGTTCCGCCCTGCGGCACAGCCGCTTATTTCGCCATCAGCAGCCGCTTATGGAAAAACTGATTATGGAAATCCCTAATCAATGTGTCTTTTGCGAGGAGAGGCACGAACTTGAAACCCTAAGCTAACTCTTGCAGCTTGCCCTTTACATAAACGTACTGTAATTTTAAATCTCCGGCGCTAATTCCAAACTACAGATTTAACCACAAATTATACTCTCATTCTGAAACCTGTGTAAATCTTATAGGTGCTCAAGGTGTGGGTCGAAGAACATTGAAAAACAGGATCATCCTGTCTGACAGGGCAAGATTTGGTACTACAATACCCCGTGAGTACCACTTTAATGACTTCTAAGTACAGCTACGAGCTCAGCAGATGTTCTAGTGTAACAACCGTGGTATTACCATTAGGTTCCACTGGATTTGCTAGATATTGAAATTTTCAATTGAGTGTCAAAAATAATTCGGGATTGTTTTGTTTTTGCATCACTTCGCTCGGTGTTTGGTCCAGAAAACTCGGATCACCAACTCAACCGATCTGATACATAACGAAAAAAACCAATCGTTACTTGGTCGCTCGCGTTTTCCTGCGCTTTGGTCAGGTTGGTCGGTTTCAACTTTGAGCTCCCTTTGGCTTTTAAAGATATTTTCCTTTTGTCTGATTGGTCTTTGTAATAACTTTGGTTTCGTTTTACTACACTCAATCGAAAAGTTCTCTATATGCAGTGTACTTTTACGGTCAATTACCCAAACTCCTTTGAACTCGTAGTGAGGTTCTCTTTGGGTCTTTCATTCCTAACATTCCTAATATTCATCATTGGGTCATTCTAACATTCCTAACATTTGGAGTGGTTACAATATTACCCTTAATAACTGAAATGCCTTTCTTAGTTATTGACCGGAATGAGAACATAGTTTAAATTGCAAGAATTGCTATGAAACCACTAAAAGAATGCTTTCCCTCTTAGTAAAATAGTTTTAATGATACAGTTCTATTGCAATAACTTGAATTCTTTAGGATTTCCATCAATAGTTCAAGTTATGGGAGATCTACTGTATATCTAGAATTCATTCATTCTTATGTGTCGAACAACCTCTCGCCTACTCGTTTAAAATGTCTCCGCGCGTTGGAAGGGCTTGCTCACTTGTTAATTTTTTAAGTATTGTACATTTTGCCTTTCTAAATTCAAGCAATGTCTCTTGTTTTTTTGTGCAGACACAACACGTGAGCCACGAGAAGGCGAAGAAAATGGCAAAGGTTACAACTTTGTAAGCCGAGAAGAAATGGAGCAAGACATCAGAGCTGGAAAGTATCTGGAACATGGCGACTATGAGGGAAACTTGTATGGAACTAAGGTTGACAGTATTCGTGAAGTCATGCGCTCAGGGAAAATGTGTATTCTGGATGTTAATTCTACGGTAAGGAAAAGCAGAATTTTGAATCAATGTAGAGCAGTTTCTAATTGTGTATTGAAAAACTAAAACCAAAGTAATCCCAGAACAAAGATTTACATTGCCATAAGCCAATGAGAACTCAAAGTGAAAACAAACAAACTGCTTGATGCGCGGGAAAACGCGCATATCCAAGTTGCGATTGTTTTTAAGTTTTGCATCTGATTGGTTGAGAGATTCGCTAACTAGTGTGCAAGACCTGGAGAAAAGACTAGAAAACGAGGATTGAGTGTCGGCATTCTTGGGAAGAATTTATGCGTCTTTTTCCAAACAGCAACAAGTGTTCAATTGCAGGATGATATCCATATAAGCTAGCTCAGATGCGAAAAACAAAGCTATGCTCACAGGCTATGAATCCCGACAATAGCCCTTTACACCCTGACGGCAGTTTGCATAGTCTCCATACTGTATTTCCTGAGGTGCTGACAAGGAGAGTTTGTCAAAAAATCAGGAGTTTCTTTAGTTGGTGATCATTTCCTTCATTCTCATAGCCTTACTGTTTTATTCAGAGGTGGTATTGTAAGGAGAATCTAGATGCTAGTCACCCATAGGGGTGAAAGGGTTGGAAGTGATTGTTTCAAATAAGCTCGACATACATGTACGTCGCTGACTTTTTTCGCTACAGATACTTGCCAACTCTCTGGTTTTCGAATCAAAAACTTGATTCTTAAGCCTGCTTTCCAATTTCTTTCGGCTAATGAATTCTGGTTTACTTTAGGCTCTAAAGATTCTGAAGACTCCAGAATTCATGCCGTTTGTCGTATTTATTGCTTCGCCACCCATTGAGAACCTGAGGGAAATTCATAAGCGAGCTACATCAGAGGGAACTATCACCAAGAAACAGACGGTAAGCATGCGATCACTGGTAATCGACTAGAGTACTTACTTGTTAAAGGAAACTCTGGAAGTGTGGAGTAATTTTCGGGCGCCCCACTCCCAGAGTTTCGCGTGGCGCCGAAAAAGAGGGACTTCTCGTGGACTATATTGTTAGAAGTAAATTCTCTAACACTCGTTGTTGGTTTGGTTGAGTCTTCTTTAATTCTTTTCTTCTCAAGTTGTTACAGCGGTGACTAACTCCAAAATATCAGGGAAAACTGGAGTCTCCGCTTATAAAGGTGACACTGCGGATGACATTTCTAAGCCGTCAATCTTCTTGTGTCGTCATCGTACCATCTCAACTAGCGAATCACGCTTGACTACGTATTATAGTTCCCACATACTGAGTATGCACCTTAGGGTTGTTTACGCAGTTAAAAAATCAATTTCTACCTTAATTTTCATATCTTTACGGTTGAGATCGGCCAGAACAGAAACGAGATCGACAATATGAAAATTACAAATAACCTTGGTTCAGAGTACTATTTATACCTGAAAGTGTATCTTAAGAGAAAATCACCTTTAAAGATTGTTACATAACAACATCTTGGTCACAAGAGTTAAAGAAGAAAGGCGCTCACAAGTACCGCCCCTAAATTGCTTTTGGTTGCGAAACATGAGGGGTATCACCTGTTTACCCTTAAATTACCTCTGGGAACACGAAGGTGTCGAGCGCGACCTATTACCGGGGAGATTTACTCTTCCTGGACTAACAAATTAACTTATTTAAGTACATGGCTTATCACGAGTTCCATGTCAACCTCACGATCACAAAAAAGAAAACGTGATTAAACTCACTAGGAGAACGTGGCCAAACTCACAAGAAGAACGTGATCAAACTCAACCTTTAAGATAAGACCACCAAGAAGGAATACGAAGTAGTCAACCTGCCCTTTTTATAACTTACATTAAATGACTTAAAATAATATAATATTTCCATTCCTTTTCTTTCCAACACCAATACAGGAAACCCTTACGATATTGTAGATTAACTATAATTGTAATTTTATCATTTAACAATATTAAGAGGCAAACAGCTACTGCTCAGAGCTAATCATTTATCAGGATTTTGTAAATTTGTAATTATATAATATTTGATTTGTTTTCAGGACGAAGATCTTCAGAGGACAGCCGAGGAATCAGAGAAGCTTTTCAACAGCTACTCGCATTATTTTGATAAAGTCATTGTGAATGACGACCTTGATAAAGCCTTGTCTCAACTCAAGGATTGTATCGAAGGGCTCAGCTCTGAGCCGCAATGGGTCCCAGTCAGCTGGGTTTACTGATTGCCTGATTACCTCCCCACCCCCCTCCCCCTCATCCCACATAACGTTACAGGAGCGGCAGTCAAAAATTTCACCAGAAAACCTAAAAGGTGCAAGTTTGGATCTGCTGTAAATCTCTTTTAATCCGTTTGCGGTACATGTATCAATCCCTGTGGCGTTTTATGTCTGTGATAGTACAGACCACTCCTGTTATTTTTGTACAGAGTCCTTCTCCTCCTCTCCCCCGAGGTATTCCTAGTTACTCAAGGGAATTCAGTTTTATGAAAAATGAACGTATTTGGAAATCTCAGAATTGTTTTTAGACTTTTTTTTTTATCTTATAGTTGGCCTTTAATGATATCAAGCTTGTTGTTCTTTCATATTTTGCGTAGTTAACGATTGAACCCAAAAACTATAGCCGCTAAAGTGAACTATTTGTCTTATAGACAGCAATCCTTTTTGTAACTTCCGGACAACTAAGGGCTGACTTCACCACAATGGTTCCAAAAGATAAAACATAGTTTCTCAAGATTTCTTTGTAAAATGACGGGTAACTTTGCAAATCTCGGGTAGTTTGTTCAAAGGTAAAGCTAAATTTAAGGGCCGTTACACAATAGTCGAGACGTTTTCTGCGGCGTGCATAATTTCATACAATTTGAAAGAATCCACAAAATATTCTGAGCCTGGTAAGTTAAAAAAATACCAATGTGAAAAGAATACACCCATCTAAAATCAAGGATGGAGAGGTTGGTCGCATATAGCAATTTGAACTTGGAAAATTTAAGCTTTAAGTTTTCAAGATGCAGAATCTTTGACTTGACTCCTTTCAAGAGTATCTGGGGATTTTTCTAATGAAGATAGTTTTAAATGTGTTCAGTTCCTTGTCTAATACTCTTACAGAAAATATTTTGCGCGAAATCTTTCATATGGTGATTCAAGAATCTTGCGAAGCATTGGAGAACTTAAGCAGAGACGTTTTAGAGACTCGGACGGAAACCGGAAGAAGAATAAAATAACTGTGATTTTAGCGCGCAATAACGTCAATATATCGACCGTAATGTTAAACTAATTTGTGCTTGCCGAAAAGGTATATGAGAAACAGATATGAGAACTTTTAACTTCCGGTCGCCACCCGCATCTCGAAAACGTTTGTGCGTAAGTTCCATATTAAATTGTTCAGTACGTGATGATGATTCTCGCCTGACGGCTAAGTATTGATAGCAAACAAAAAGCATTGCCTTTGAGACAAATCACTTTGGAAAATAACCGTGGTGACATTTAGTAGAGACAATTTTATTAGTATAGAAGGTTAACTGGTGTTATTACTCGTGATGTTTTAGACTGTAGTGCTGTATAATTTTTTTTATTCCATACAAGAATAAAATTTCGATTTGTGCCTGACCGTAGATATTTGCATGGTTCATGTTCTCCTGAGGCTTGCCGGAGCCATAAGGCACGGGACATCAGAGCTTTTAGACGGTTCATTCATTTCATACGTTGCCAAAACTTGTGGATAATTTCTTCCTTTCTTTTAATTCAGAGACACGGCTTTTTTGCAAAATATTAGATGAACTCTTCCGTTTGCCTCTCATAAAATTTGTATTGACATCGATGATGTCATCAAAATTCTGAGAATAAATTAGGGTGCTTTCCGAGAATTCCTTCCATCAACATGACGCCATCGGAAGGAGAGGTGACTTGTGCTTTTACCCTCGAATATTTAAACTTCGGTTATTTCCCTTATTTAGCTAAAGAAGAACGTAACCCTAATGCAAAATCATTGACATCTATGACATCATCAAAATTCTGAGAATAAATCAGGGTGCTTTCCGAGAATTCCTTACATCAACAATGGCGCTTGCCGCGCCGGAGCTCCGCTGTAAATGATGCATAGAAGGTGCTTCGTGCTAGCTTCCATTTCCAATAGGCAAGTTATAATTCTCTAGAGCGCGGTCACTAGCCTCATCTGGCCAGTTGCATGCATGAGATCATGAAGGAAGAGCCAACGTGTACTTTTACCCTCAAATAATTAAACTTCGGTTATTACCCGTATCGTTCACTTGAATAAGAATGAGGCAGATGTAACGTGATCAAGACATTGAGATCATCGAAATTCTTAAAATAAATCAAGAGCTTTCTGGGAATTCCCTCTATCGACATGGGCACTTCTTGCAGCGAAGCTCCGCTACAGGTAATATATTGAACGTTCTTGTTTGTTTCTTCTCCACTGAACGCATTTCGTATTAACAAGTTTTAATCGGTTAAAACACAGTCACTAGCGTCGTCTGGTAAATTGCATGAATGACAGTAACTTGAGGGAAAAGCGGTTTGCGGTTTCACCCACAAAAATTTAAAATTTGCTTAGTATCCTCATTCACTTGAATAAGAACGAACCGGATGCGGAAATAAAATGAAAACATCAACGACGTCATCGGAATTCTGAGAATAAATCTAATGCTTTTCCGGGGATTTTATCTATCAACATGGGCACCTGCTACGCCGGTGCTCCGCTATAAATAATACCTAAAAGATGCTTCTTGTTCGTTCTGCTCCATTGCATCCATATTTCTAAAAGGTAAATTATCATTCTCCGAAGCGCAATAATTTGCTGTATGTGGTTTATAGGTGCTTTTACCTTTAAATAATTAAGGACAAAAGCCAAAACGTCAATGACGTCATCGAAATGTTAAGAATAGATCTGGGTACTTTCTCGGAATTCATTGTTCACCAATGACATCATCCAAATTCTGAGAATAAATCTGGGTGCTTTTCTGAGAACTTATTGATAACGAAGATGGCTGGAGATAGTTTGTTGCTTCTTCTACTCTGCGGTTTGATTGCGATTGTATTAATTATTGCCGTTTTCTCTCGTTTGATCAAGAAACCTACACGAAGAACAGCTAAAGAAGCGAAATGTGAAGCTTCCAAAGAAATACCAACAAGTCCTGACAAAGATTTGGGCCGAAGAAGAACGCGCGTTGGCCTACGAGGAAATGAGCTGCACTCTAGCGCTCTTTCCACAGATAAAATCATTCCACGAAGTGTCAACTATCACTTTACAAGACAGTGTAACTACAAATGTGGCTTCTGCTTCCATACCGCAAAAACTTCATCCGTTCTACCAATTGACGAGGCGAAACGAGGATTAATGATGCTCAAGGAGGCAGGTAGGGTTTTAATGAAAGCCAAACACAGACCTTAGGCTTGCTTCATTAACTAAGGCAGATCAATGTTAAAACGAGAAATTTGTACTATTCGGTCAGACGGGCTTTCCACGGCTCTCTTTGGTTAGCAGTTAACTAGTAATTGAAAGAAAGAGAAATTTAAAATCATTTTGAGTGTTGGTGGGGTATTCGAAATATGCACTACTTAGACCTCTTGCCTGAAACCAGTTGACAATTATTCGCCGAAGGCGAATTGAATTAAAGAATATTTCCTGAGCACAAGGAGAACAATTGTTTTGATATAACTAATTGCTCAGGTGAATAATCTCCGAGATGAAGTGGAAGGGATCATTCAATAATATGCACTTCGCCTGAAGCAAATAGCTGTTAAATAGAAAAAAATTTTGTTTCAGAGAATTCAGGAAGCGTATCCTTGCACCTCTTACGTTACAGAAACTGTCAATTCAACGAGCAATATTAAATTAGTCATTGCATTAGGTCTTAGATTTTCATTTTGCATCTAAGTAACCCCATCCCCTCCCTTTGCGTGGTCCTTGCAACTGGGCCAGCAGACTGCACAAGCTCGATTGAAGAGGCTCTTAAATTGCCTTTAGCAATCTTTTTTGTGTCTCCCTGAAAGTGAGAAGAGATGGAATGGGAAAAGTGTCGGATGGCACTCGGGACGACGGTCTCAATCAAGGTCTTCCCCCTTCATTTTGCATTTGATACTATGTACATCTCCCGTCAGATTCTTCTTTAATGTTCCATCGTAATTTCTTTCTGGATACCTCGAAGAAATTAGCTCCCTTCCGATGTTATTTCCTCAGATGTTAACCCCAGATATCTAGAATCGTCCCTAAACAAGAGTAAACTATTCTGATGCTCCTTTTCCATTCCGTGACCTGTTGATGTTTATGTTCTGCTTGCTTAACCAGTATCAGATATTATTCACGCTTGATCACAGGGGGTAAGTTTCTAAAGAAACTGTGGTGAGCGTCGGTGGAAGAGTATAACAGGGTAATTAAGTATTATCAACTGACTTGATAACGTAAATTGGCCACCGTAAAGAGTTTAAAAGCTGGCGTTTCGAGCGTTAACCCTTCGTCAGAGCGAATGCTAAGGGCGAAATCCATTCGCTCTGACGAAGGACTGACGCTCGAAACGTCAGCTTTAAAACTTTTTAACTAAAGAGCAAAAAAAAACGAATTTTGACCGGGTTTGACCACATCTTGTTGACAACAACCTTAATTTCCAATTTGTTTGTATTGACCCAGAGAAGTTACGTTGATGGACTATTAAGTTAAAATACATACATACATACATATATACATATATACCTGCATGTCAAGGATTCTGTGCTTTTAATTCATTTTTAGGGATGGAAAAAATCAACTTTTCTGGAGGAGAACCTTTTATCTACAAACGTGGCGAATTTGTTGGAGAACTGACGCGTTATTGTAAGGAGGATTTGAAGATGCAGTCTGTCTCAATCGTGTGCAATGGAAGCCTCGTTACGGAACGATGGTTTTCCAAATATGGTAAGAAACACCCTAAGCAAAGTCGAAATTTCAACAACTGCCCTCCAAAGGCTAGAGGATGTTTTAGCGCAACAACAAAACTATCAACAAATTTGGCAAATGATAAGGTTATCGTAAATACTGACGTTTGATTGGTTGAAAGGACAGCATTTTCTTTTAGGGAAATGCGTCACAAAGTTGTAAAAGTTGCATCGAGGACTTCAAGAGGAATCAAGACTCAAAATTGAAAATTCGCGCCAAATATCGACAAACTTTAGCTAAAATTTACCTTTTCAACCTGTCTATTTCGTTATTAATTTCACCTCAATAGAGGTATCCTAGAGGTTCATCCTTTCATCCACTTCAAAGCTCGAAGTTGTTCATTCACGCACATATGTTATAGGGTTCGTGCGCAGCGAGGTCTTACAAGGGGTATGTAACATAATGAAAAAGCTGAAAATTTAAAATCATTTCAAATTTTATACCGTTGTGGCTTTTATAAACAACTTCGATGCAACGAAATTTACTAATACTCGATTAAATTGCGACTGGAATTAAAGACATGGAACCAGCCAAACAGTGTTTAGGAAGCGTGCTCCGAATTGCAGTCAAATTGAGTAAAGAAAACTTGACAGCCTGCGAAGCACGAAAACACCTTTTATCAATACACTGCGGTGTTTTATGAGGATTTCCAGGCCTGAGAAAGCCGCAACTGCATTCATGTAAAATAATGGTAATTTGTACGTGAAAATGATTTCTAAAACCTGCTGCTAGCTCGTCACTCGCCTTTCACACCACTCTCTCTTGTTGATGGATGAATGGCAAAGCGTTCAGGTCTATGGCGGTTATACAATTAACAAAATGATATATGGTACATGATACATGATACTCGATATCGCGCCCGTCCGCGGCGCTCATCAGTTTGTAAAAATATCGAGCTGAATACTCGAGGAAAAATTCCATATCTACGCTTGTCCACATATTTTCTCTATTTATTGATCTAAGTACAATTTTTCTATTTGTCATTATGCAACGTTTGCAGGAGAATTTCTGGATATAATGGCTGTGTCGTGTGACAGTTTTGACGAGGAGAAAAATCGTCAGATTGGACGTCATCAGTCTGGGAAGGGAAACCTGAAGTGTTTACAGAATATACGTGATTGGTGCAAACAGTACCACGTGGCTTTCAAGATCAACACGGTGGTTAACACGTTTAACGTTGACGAGGATATGACCGAGCGCATCGAGGAACTCGCCCCAATTCGTTGGAAGGTGTGGATCAGTAATGATTTCGCGTAATTTATTTAGGGCGTTATTACTATTACCCTATTTGGATGTGTAACATCATACAGTACTAATGAAGTAACCGGGTCATGCAATAACCTACGACTCAATCTCTGGCAAATATGAACGATCTCAGGCCACAGCCAAACAAACCTGGATAAGATTGAAAAGGAGAAGAAAATGATCGGGCGTAGTAGGGAGGTAGGCTCGGAGAGACGGAGCCAGTTGCTGTTAAAACACTGCCCATGTCCTTCAGATCACACCATAATAAGACGCACAAATAGACGAGAAGGGAGTCTTAGTCCGTAATTTGCTTTCTGGCTCTCTTTGGTTAGCAGTTAAGTGGTGATCAGTTGAAAGAAAGAAAAATCCAAAACCATTTTGAGTGTTGGTGGGGTATTCGAAATATACACTATTTAGACCTCTTGCCTAAAACCAGTTGACAATTATTCGCCAAAGGCGAATTGGATTTCATGTTATAATATTCCTTGAGCACAATGAGAACAATTCTTTTGATTTAACTGATTGCTCAAGAGAATAATCTCAGATATGATATGGAGGGGATTATTCAAAGATATGCACTTCGCCTGAGGAGAGTAGTCGTGAAATGGTATAATTTTTGTTTCAGAGAATTCAGAAAGTGTATCCTCGCAATTCTTACATTACAGGAACTATCAACTGAACGAGCAATAGTAAATTTGCCATTGCATTGGGTCTTCAACTTAGAGAACTCTACTATTTCCAATTTGATTAATAACTAGTCGATCCCGTTATCTCTAACCGACGATGAATTAACTTCTTTATAAATTCATATAAATGTTATGAAGTATATACAGTTATACATTCCTTGAAAATAATAATGATGACGATAGCGAATGTGGTTTAGAATTAATGATGACACAACTTTTTGGCCTAAGAATGACACTAAACAATTGATTACTGTAAAAACATTACACTAATTAACTAAAGCCGTGGAAAACATTGTAAAAAAAAGTAGTTTCGTGAAAGATTGTCAGCCATCTGAGAACTTATTTATAATAATTGTTCCACCAAAAAAAACCAACTGAATTTATTTCCGCTACTCAGGTTTTCCAGTGTCTGCTCATCGAGGGAGAAAATTGTGGTACAGATGCGTTGCGACAAGCACAAAAGTTTGTAATTTCTGATGATGAATTCAATCATTTTGTTGAAAGACACTCCAAGTTAAGTTGTCTTGTTCCTGAATCAAATGAAAAGGTAAACGAATTGAGTGATTTCTCTTTTAGCATTCCTAACAATGTTTTGTACAAAGCTACTCACCTTCATTATTAAACCCTTATTATTTTTTTATAATTTTTGATAAAGAAAGTTCCACGATGGCTTTCCTTGTTATATCTGTAGAAGTGAGCTGTTTCCCCTTCAAATTTCAGTTTACACCTCAACATTGGTGTCCATGTTCTCCACAATATTCTCTTTACTTTCCTATGGAACTGACGAGGAGAATTTGTTTGACAATCAGAAGCTTCTTAAACTAGGGATCATTTCCTTTATTCTCATGACCTTTGCATTTGACTGAAGGCTGATACTGTAAGGAGAAATTAGAAGCTAGTCACTCTTACAGTTGAACAAATATATCCTCATGATATCTTCTCTTAACAAAGGGTAAACAAAAGAACTGCTCTGCCTATAGAAAAACCAACTTAAAGCAATCTTTGCTAACTTTTCCTCATCCGTTTTTATTTTTATAGATGCAGAATTCGTATCTCATTCTCGACGAGTTTGTAAGTATTTTCAAAAGCGATCGTTAAACCTTTACACCCTAATCTCAGTCTACATATTCTCCATACTGTTCTTTATACGTTACCTAAGGTGCTGACAAGGAGAATTTATTTTAAAACCTAGAGCTTCTTAACTTAAGGATCATATCCTGTATTTTCGTTACTTTAATGTTTGATTCAGGGGTGAAATTGTAAGGAGAAATTAGAAGCTCGTCATTCTTCGAAGTCAAAGGATAAAGAAAAAAAAACCGGAAGATTCTTCAGAGTTGGTTGATCCAATTAGTTGATCTAATACAAAATTCTCCGAACTAACATTATAAGAATTATATGGCAAACAGAGAGTTACTGATAAGATCTTCAGGGAGCGAAAGGGTTAAGAACTGTTCTGATTCTTGGAAATTATAAAAAGAAATAATTCGAAAAGAATTCTGAGTAAATTAATTAGCCACATATTGCGAGAGAGAGATACGTCTTCGACGCAGAATTGAAGGAGGAATTTTTAACCTCTGGTCCTATTCTTCACTTAGATGCGTTTCCTGGACTGTAGATCTGGTGCAAAAACTCCATCCAAATCTCTGCTAGATGTGGGAGTTGAAGACGCCATAAATGCAAGTGGATTTGATGAACAGATGTTCTTCAGACGAGGAGGAAAATACACGTGGAGTAAGGCGGACATGAATCTGGAATGGTAGCCTGATGTTACACTGCGGTCAAACGTTGGGCGTGCGCGAGGGTATCGATTGTAGCTGGCCGCGCGCCAATTTCCTGCGCAAAAGTTCACTGGAAAACATAAGAAACAGCCACCGTCGCGCAAAATAAAATGACGGAAAATTGAAACGTTCATAAAAATCTCTGAAAAGAAACAGAATTAGGAAAAGGGAAAACTCGACACTTCTCGAAAGCTGATTCAAGGGTATCTTGTTGATTTACCAAATCGCGCAGCTAATTACAGCAGAAGCGCTTAATTTCGAATAAAATTGTAGATAAAACAAAGGGGAAAATAAATTGACTTTTAAGTTCATACCCCGAACGATTTAAGAGGGATGCATTCCGTCCAATCTACAGGCATATAACCTTGCTGTTGTGAAAAATTATATTTAAACTGTTTTTGATATATTGCATTTATGAAAAGAACATTTGGAAAATTTTTGTACAGCTCTTTCCGAGATATTTGGACCTAACTTTGCGTCCGAGAAATAATATGAAAAAGTTACTTTAGTATACTTAATTAGCTAAGCTGCACCTCCTGATCAATGCGAGGAGCTGTTTCCAGACTTAACACTGTATCACATGCCTTAAGACATGTTTATTAATGGTTACTAACTTTCATTTTCATGGTGCTAGATTTTATGTACTCAAAGATCGATTTAATCAACTTCTTTGAAGAATGAAATACTTGAAATTGTTTAACGAGACGGCTTTTGAGTGAATGGCGTATTAGATCATTTTGAAACGTTCGGTGTGATCGCGTGAATTCTTTTTATTCGCGATTTATTAAATTTCAATGGAAAAATTTCTGATGCTTGAAGAATTTCAAAATAAATTCGAAATTAAGGTCAATTATTTGCATTATTTTCAATTAATTGCTGCCATTCCTTTAGATCTGAAAAGAAAGGCTCTTAATTCTCCTGTCCCTGATCTACTCAGTGAACCGTCAGAATACTTTCAGTTTGAAGATAGTACAATATTTTTCATTACATTTCGCTGTAAAAATTATTATAAAATGTTTATTGAAAGACTTGATACTGAACCCTCTGCAATTACGTCTTGGAAGAAACATTTTACAGAACTTCCTAATTGGAGCAACTGTTTTGTGGATATATATATAAGTCTTCGAAAGATAATAAACGCAGAGAATTCTCTTTTAAAGTTATGCACAGAATAATTCCTACCAAGAAAGAACTGATGAAATATAAATTGGCTTCTGATGACAAGTGCCCTCTATGTCTTAATCCAGACTCAATTGAACACACTTACATTGTCAAGAATCAACTGATTTCTTTACATAAACATTAGGATGGTTTAATGATGTTCACAAGACTAAGATAAAACTCTCAAATAGACAAATTGTACTCGATACGTTTGAAGACTCCTCTCCATTGGAATCATCAAATCCTCTTAAAAGTAGACCACGTCTTCTGTTTTTATCGCAAAAGAAATATTTGTGCACCTGCATGGGCATTACAAGAAACCAAATTTAGATTAATTCGTAAGCAAGTTATTTGAACAGCACCATATTGAAAATGGTGGCAAATCTTATTAACTTACATGTAGCAACTGACAAGCTTTTACTCTGATTCATGCTTTTCTTCTTTTTTTGTGTGTGAACTACGTGTAATGGTTATGAAATACATTTTGTTACTTTGCTATTTTTTTATTGACTGTTGTAAATTAGTGTTTACATGTTTTTTTTGATTCCATGATATTTCTGTTTCCAATAAAGTTTTGTTTATTAAAAAATATATATATATTGCAAAGTTGTCCAATGTGATACAAATGTAAAATATTTTTAAGACTTTTAAAAAAAACTGTCATGTATCCTCGAGTTCCCCAAAACGATAAAAACTCTAAAATGGGAAAACAGAAGAGCTCAAAATATCAATTTTAATAACATGAAACAGGAAAAATATCAATCACTTACAAAATGTATCCTTTAATTTGGCCACTTGTGTCCAATACTTATAACAGTCACGGAGCATTTTACCAATTCAGAAAATCAGAACGAGTTAAAATAAAACTTAACCGTGCAAACGTGTACAGCTTATTTCAATCGAATGACATACAACCACGAAAAAATAATAACAACAGCCTAACAGAACCGAAAAAAAAGGTAAGTGGATGCTAAGATCATGACGTCACAAGGTGTTAACAGCTTTCTTGCATCTGACTGGTCTCAGGGGTTACGCGAATTTTTGGAACCAAATACAACAGAAGCAAAGCACTTTCAAGGTACATTTGCAACTTGATCAAAAATTGTTCTAAACTACTTGTCCACTTTAAATTTCTAGGGTTAAAGTTCCTGATATTAACTACAAAGCGCAAAAAAATAGAGCATAGGTACACGTCTTTTAAATGGCCGTCATACGTACCGTTTGAAAAGTCCAACAGTTTACACCGATAACAACGTCTGTCCCAAACAAGGCAAGTAAGCTACATGATATCCAGGGCGACCACCACCTCGGCACACATAGTGTCATCTTGTGTTTCTTGGTTTTGTATGTTTTCGTCCACTTCTTCTGTGTGAGCTCTGCAATTTAAAGGCTCATTCTCGACGTGCACTCTAGCATGTAGGCGAAGTTGACTTGAGTTGGTGTAAACCTTGTCGCAATGCTGGCACTTGAGAAGATTCTCTCTTGTGTGTAATCTGATATGTTGACGAAGCTGTCCCCCTTGAGTGTAACACTTGTCACAATATTTGCACTTGAAAGGTTTCTCACCCGAATGCACAGTGCCATGGCGGCGAAGATCTGCAGCACGAGCAAAACATTTTTCACATTGGCTGCATTTAAAAGGCTTTTCTCCTGTGTGTGTTTGGACATGTCGATTAAGGTTTACTGATCGGGTGAAACATTTGTCACAGATCTCACACTTAAAAGGCGGCTTTGCTCCATTGTGCACGGTTTTATTCTGGCGAGGAGTTGCAGCATTGCGCTCTTCTACATCCGCGTGAACGGTGGCAACATGTCGGCGAAGATCTGATCCGTGGCTGAAATACTTGACACAATGTGAGCACTTAAAAGGCTTTTCTCCCCAGTGTTCTTTAACATGTTGTTGAAAGTGACCTTCCTGGGAAAAGGACTCCCCACACTGCTCGCAATGAAACGGCTTTTCCCGTGTATGTCTTTTGACATGTTGGCGAAGTGTTCCATTTTCTTTAAAACACTTGCCGCACTCAGTGCACTTGTGGGGTTTTTCAGTGGCATGTACTGCGCTGTGACGGCGAAGGTCCGAAGCTCGACTGAAGCATTTTTCACATTGGTCACACTTAAAAGGCTTCTCGCCCGTATGTACACTGGCATGTAGGCGAAGGTGACTCGAGTTAGTGAAACACTTGCCACACTGGTGACACTTAAAAAGATTCTCTCCCGTGTGTAATCTGAGATGTAGGCGAAGTTGTCCTCCTTGTGTAAAACACTTGTCGCAATGGTTGCACTTGAAAGGTTTCTCGCCCGAATGCACTGTGCCATGGCGGCGAAGATCTGCTGCACGTGTGAAACATTTGTCACACTGGCTGCACTTAAAAGGCTTTTCCCCCGTGTGTGTTTGGACATGCCGATTAAGGTTTACTGATCGGTTAAAACATCTGTCACAAACCTTACACTTAAAAGGCTTTTCTCCAGTGTGCACTGTTTTATGTCGACGAAGAGTTGCAGCATCATTGAAACACCTATCACACTGCTTACATGCAAAAGGCTTCTCTCCTGTGTGTATCCTGTTGTGCTGGTTTCGGTTCCCAAGAGTAGAAAACCGCTGGTCACAAACATTGCATTTAAAGGGTTTTTCTCCGGTATGTGTCCTACTATGAGTACGAAGGATTCCTGAATGATTGAAACATTTGTCACACACCTTGCATTTAAAGGGTTTTTCGCCCGTGTGCACCCTGTTATGTAGGCGAAGGTTTGAAGGCTGACTAAAACACTTGTCACAATGGCTGCATTTGAAAGGCTTCTCTCCAGTATGAACTCTGACATGTCGAGATAGTTGTTCTGACTGCCTAAAACGCATTTCACAATGCTTGCACTTATACGGTTTTTCTCCAGTGTGCAGTCTTTTATGCTGGATAAGGGTTCCTGCATGTCTGAAACACTTGTCGCAATGGCTGCACTTAAAAGGCTTTACGCCCGTGTGTATTCTTACGTGCTGACGGAGGATTTCCGCTCTGGTAAAACTTTTATCACAATGGGAGCAATCAAACTTCCTTTCACCTCTGGTCTTTCTTGTAGAACGGGCCGACTTTTCATTGTCTTCACTGTGGTTAAGAGACATCTCGACATCTTGTCTGTAACACAATCACAAAACAAATTTCAAACGAGTCTCGCAAGATTATTGAAAGAGAGAAACCGAGGCATGATATCATCACATTGGGGGACTCTTTTTTCTCTTTCGAGCATTACTTCTTGGAGAGCCCAAGGGAACAATTTAACAACCTTTATAATACGTAATAAACTGCGGTGTTTTACAAGGATTTCCATGCCTAAGAAAAGCTGTAACTGCACACGTGTAAAATTACGATAACTTTCTGAGTGTCTTTGATATCACCAATCAGCTGCTAACACATCACTCTCTTTCCCGTCAAT